CTGTCACCATATACTTAGCAAATATTTTCCATCCAAGCAAAAGTATGATAAAAATCAGGCCAATGTTAGTTTGGATTAAATAAATAGTCCATGTTCTAAGTTGCTGGAATTAGAAATCATATGGATTTATTTCACGTGTATTCTTTTCTCAATAGGAAAGTAGAAGTAGGAAATCCATAGTTAGGCCTGAATTGGTGATGCATTTACCTGTCTGATGATTTACACTACTGTCTCTTCAATATTAGAAAATTGTTCTTTAAAGGTCACAACACCAGGTAGCCTCAAAGAATCAGATAGGAAGCTATTCTATCCATGTGATGTTGATTTTTGTCAACTCGATACCAAGAAGATAGGCAGGACTGGTATAGGAAGACCATCTTAATTATGGATGAGACCATTCCCTGGGTGGGGGAATCCCAGGATAGACAAAATGGAGAAAAGGACCTGAGCAGCAGCCTGCACTTACCTGTTTCCTGGTCACAGATGATATGTGACCAGCTGCTTCAGTCTCCTGCTGCCTCGACTTCCCTGTTGTGATAGACTGTACACTGAACTGTAGTTAAAACAGCCACTTCCTCTCTTGTGCTGGTTTTACCTCAGCAATCGGAAAGGGACTGCAGGTAACTAGTAGGATTACAAGGGACCCAGTGACTGCAAGAAGCCCTTATTATTCTCCCACGAGCTGCTGGATTTTTTTTTCCCATGCCAAAAAAGCTCCTGTGTTTCAAATATGTGTAGGCATCTAAGTGTTCTAGGTTGGGGTGACAGCAATTCTAGGTGCTCATATCTGGCCTTGTCTTTGCTGAATGGTTGTTCCATTTCTTGGTTTCTGTTTCCCTTTCAGTTTCTTAGAGTGTGGTGTCTGTGATTTGCCAGGTAGGAAATGCTTCTGCGATTCTGCTAGGTGTGGGCACTAGGGCTCTGGGCAGAATATTTTTCTAGGTATTGGGTTCTGGGTAGGATGTTTTTCTAGTTATTGAATTCCAAGTAGGAATCTTTTCTAGGTATTAGGTGTTGACAGTAATGAGGATGAGGTAGAAATGGAGGTTTAGGGGGTCTAGAAGATGAAGCAAAGCAGGGTATGCCACCAGGATCTGCTTAGTTCCTTGGGAATGGGGGTAGAGAAGGAGGAAAGGTCGCAGCAGTTGGTCACTGGCTTTGGAGGGGAGGAGGGAGATTAAAGACCTAAAGATCACCTAATGAGCCATCTCTTCAGCCCCAGTTTGCAAATATTTTATTGAGAATTTCTACATCTATGTTCATAAGGGAAATTGGCCTGTAATTGTCTTTCTTTATTGGGTCTTTATGTGGTTTGAGTATCATCGGAGGGCTGGAGAGATGGCTCAGAGGTTAAGAGCACTGGCTGTCCTTCCAGAGGTCCTGAGTTCAATTCCCAGCAACCACAGGGTGGACTTATGACCACTTATAATGGGGCCTGATGCCCTCTACTGGCATTCAGGCATAAATGCAGACAAAGCATTCATACAGTTAAAAAAAAAAAGAATTCTTAGTTATCACTGGCACGGTGATAAGCAAACTGACCTGTGGAACCAGAGTCCAAAAATACACTCAAGTGTGTCTGTCACTTGGCGTTTGACAGAAACCACACCAAAGACCAGTGAGGAAAGGAAAGTATTTTAACAAATGTAACTGGGCCAATTGAATATGCATGTAGAAAATGCACGTCTTTATGGAAAATCAATTTATAAGGAATGAAGATTAGAACATAGAAAACCCTGAATAACTAAAGGAGTGTCTGTGAGATAAACTCGGGCATATTAAAATTATAAACTTTTATTGATTAAAAGAAAATAGTTAAGAAAATTGTCTGAGACAACATGTATCCAAAGAAGGACATCCAAAAGAAAGAACTTCTGGAAATGAGTAAGACAGAGTAGGAGCTTACTTTCTGGTAGGCTTTTGGTAGGAATGACATACAAATGCCTGGCAAAACTGGCTAGTGGTGGCCTCCATGCCCCAGCAATTCTGCTTCTACAGATGCACAAGGTAAAAAAAAATATGTTCCCTTTAAAAGGGAACACTGGTTGGCCAGATGGTTGTGGTGACATATTATTTATGATTTATTAAAGCTTGCCTGAGAACCCAAAAAGTAAAGTCAGCCTCCAGCTATAGAAGTCAGGCACAGAATTAAGAAATAAATGGATCTCTGTTAGTTCAAGGCCATACTAAGCTATAAGAAATATATTTAGTCCTAAAGAGAAACAGCTCACACAAAGATGATCTCAGCACTTTGGATCACATGTCTTTAATCCCAGGACTCATGAGAGGTATTTAAGACAGGAACAGGGTCTCAGAGCTGGCATCCATTCTCCAGCCACACTGAGGATAGGAAGGCATTCGGTCTCAGGATTCTCCAGTCATGTATAGGAGAGCATACCAGTCCGGGATTGCAGTATGAGGAGCCAGGGTTGCCTTGCAGTCTGGGGTAGAGGTAAGAGCTAGTTACTAGCTGCTTTGCTTTTCTGATCTTCAGCTTGAAGCTCGAACTCCAATAATGGTCTCTGGATCTTTTATGTTTTGTGTTACATGCCTTTAGTTCCAGCACTTGAGAGGCAGAGGCATGCAAATCTCAGTGAGTCGAGGCCAGCCTGGTCTACAAAGCAAGCTCCAGAATAGCTGAGATGGTTACACAAAGAAACCCTGTCTCAAGAAACAAAACAAAAACAATTGAATGTTGGGGCAATTCCTTAAGCAGTGTTCTTAGGACCTAGGCACTTTTTGTAGATGTTATGTTTAATGACATTTTAAAAATGGAACAGCCTTACAGCATATTATCTATGTTTTGGTTCCTGAAAATTACAAATTATGACTTGTGTTTCAGTTTTGTTTGGGAATTTATTTATGTTGTGTGTATTTTTATGTATTTTCTTTTGTCTGCCTGTGTGTATGATGTATGTACCTGGTTCCCATAGAGGCCAGAAAAGGTCACAGGATCTGAACTGGAACTGAAGTTAGAAATCATTTTGGGTCACCATGTGGATATTGGGAATTAGACCTGGTCCTCTGCATAAGAAACAAGTACTCTAAACCACAAAGCCATTTGTTTAGCTCAGCTTGCATTTCTTGTACTCAGAATTTGGGTCTCTCATAGGATTAAGTTTAAAACCATTAGCAATAAGTTTAAAATAGCCTGTGTATTTATTGCCTAAGACAGAATGAGTCTTAATATGAGGACTTCAATTACAGAATTCTTAGAATTAAAACTCATCGAGCAGGGCGTTGGTGGTGCGCGCCTTTAATCCCAGCACGCAGGAGGCAGAGGCAGGTAGATCTCTGTGAGTTCGAGGCCAGCCTGGTCTATAGAGCGAGTTCCAGGACAGCCTCCAAAACAATACAGAGAAATCCTGTCTCGAAAAACAAACAAACAAAAAAAAAAAACCCAACTCATCTCCGCTCTTACTGTGTGACACTGGGTAAATTATTTGATCATTTCGTGCCTCTATTCCTTCATTGTAAAATGATGATGCTAATAACAGCACCTAACTTAGATACAGAGGGCTTGGTGGAGCTTCAGTTACACTTTAAGGGCTCAGTAAGAGTTCGCCAGCTTTTATTAACTTCATGTTTGCTTCATAAATATTTGAAGGCTACTCTGCAAATCTGAGTGATGGCTTCCAGAGATTAAAGAACTGAAGAGGGAAAAGATGTGGAATTAAAATCCCAGAGCACCCAGGGAAGTGACCCACACAGTTTAATGATGCAAACTATAAACTTGGATTCTGGGACACAGTTTATAGATGTTTGTTACTGGTGTACCCAAGAGAGGACTACAGACAATTATTTCTCCAGTAGAACTGTGCTTCCATCTAAATGATGGGTAGGAAACCTTAGATGTGGCTATGTTAGGTATGAAGGTTTGATTGGTGCTCTAGAAAGAGATTGACTAGTAATGGCTAGGGAATATGAAGAGGAGAAACCAGGAGGTCAAATAAAAAAAATAAATAAATACAAGCGGTCATACATCCCTAAGGAGAATGTGCTGTCAACAGCCCAGATAAACTAAAAATTGCCTGTAAAATCATTTTGCTGTTTCTCTTTTTTTTTTAATTTAATCATAGTACAACAAAACTCTAGATGACCATGAATATGCTAACAATACAGATACTACAAAATGTGAGGACCTGAGTTTAACCCCCAAAATAGAACACACATAAACATGGAAAGAGAGAACCTGAACCATAAGGTTGCCATCAGACCTTCACATGTGTTCTCTCACGCACACATATCACATGCAAAGAAAATAATAAAAATAAAATAAAATGCAACTTATTAATCGACTCTGCTCCTAGCACATAAGCTTGTAACGGAACTACCAAGTTTTATTTAAATGCACTGTTGCCATGGTGTCAAAAATTTGGAAAGTCTTTGCCACTTTTTGAGAAATAAAAGTTGATGTGACATAAAAAAATAAAACAATACAAAACAAAAACCTGATTCAACCACCTAAAAGATCCTAGGGCTCTTGTGAGATGCTGTCAGTGGGCTGAGACTGTTAGTTTTCATGATCATGCCTTGTTTCTGGAAAGTTCACGAAGAAAGCCAGCCACTGAATAATGAATGCCTTTATTCTAAAGAGGTTTATTATGGCCTGACTCCACAAGTCTTAGGGCTTCCAAGGTTTTCTAAGCCACAGAAGGAAGCCCGCTACTCTTGGATCTTGAAAAAATTGGTAGTACAGAAAAGTGGGAATCACCTTCCCAACAAACACTAGAGAGCTGGGTACCCGGAAAGTAGGGTCTTGGTCCTCTCCCCCGCCCCCTCCCCTGCCCTGCCCCGCCCCCTACGCCGCTGGAGTTGTGAGCTCCTGAGCTGCCCCGCCTCCCAGTCTTGCCCCACCCCTTCCGTAGCCCCGCCTACAGATGCTCTGTCCTCAGTGGGCCGGGGGATAGAGGAGGGCAGGGGCGGGGCTCACCCCTTGCCCTCGGGGTCTCTCAGGCTCCACCAATCAGAGAGCGCCCTGTTGGCCATCCGCGGCTCCAGTGCCCCTCCCTCTCCCGCCGGCCTCTGCGTCCCAGAATCCAAGATGGCGGGGTCCAGACGGAAGGCTACACAGGCTGGAGCGCGGCCGTTCATTTGCGCCCTGCTGCTGTCTTTCAGCCGATTCGTCGGGAGCGACGGCATGGGAGGCGACGCTGCGGCCCCCGGCGCCGCGGGCACCCCAGCCGAGTTGCCGCACCGCCGTTTCGAGTACAAGTACAGCTTTAAGGGGCCGCATCTGGTGCAGAGCGATGGGACCGTGCCCTTCTGGGCCCACGCGGGGAGTAAGCCGGGCTGGGCCGTGGGTCGGGGGCCGGGTTCCCTCCTTGCTTTCCGTCCGCCTGCCCCACCTCGCCAGTGTCCTGCAGGACCGAGGGTCAACTCCAGCACTGCACACCACATGCGCTGGGGCAGGACTCCCCAGGCACCCCCAGGGCCCCCTAGCTCGAGGTTCACCGCGTGTCCCGAGTCTTCTAGCTTGTTCACCCACTTCCCAGTCTTCCCTGTCTTAATCTCATCCGTGCTTTGTTTGATTCAGAGGTGTTTTGTTGCTTTCTGCAGTTCCTCTGCACTCAAACCAGCTTCTGGGTGTCACGTTACATTATACCCTGATGCCACGTCTCAAGGGTACACTTTGCCTGACCATAGCAACTGAGACCAGTTCCAGCAGCCTTCTCCTGCTTGCTTGTTTTACGGAGTTAGCAGTAGTCAGTGGTCAGGTTTGTACCTAGTTTCTCAAATGCTCCAAGATAGCTTACAGTCTTGGAGTGATTTCTTTGGTCTTTGGATGACGTTCTTAAAATGTTAGGATTACACCATAGGTTTGACTCTCAGTTGACAGTGTGTGTGGTCTTTGATCTTTACACTATAAACTTTATATTAGTGTCTTTATTTAGTTATTACAGGAGATATATTTTTGTATTGATTGTTTCTGAACTTGGGACTAAGAATGCTTGTATCTTCTTCTCCTTTAAGACATCCATGAAATAGTTTCTGCTTCAATGCTTACTCAGAACTGAATGAGCGCTTCACTGGTGGAGAGAAAGCCTCCACTTTTTAGTGCTGATGTGTCACTGCTGACCAAAGAATGTCAGTAACACTTGTCATTCCATAAGCTCCTCTGTGACTGTCAGATACACACACCCATTAAAGCAGGTAGTAAATACCCTCTATTTTTGTGTGTAATTGTCGAAGGCTTCGATACATCATTTGAAATTGTCCAGTGACGGAAACAAAATTCTTCATTTCTAGAAAGTAATTGCTAAATAGAAAGCACACGTCCAGTAAGGGCCATGTTCCTCAAATTAATGTGCAATTATCAGGTGTAGATTTCATTGAACTTAATGACCCAGTCATTATGTAGTTGAAACAGAGTGCAATTAGGTGGTTACTCAGTTCATTCATTATAAGCCTTCTGGGCTCATGTTATCAAGATAGCATTGCTCCTAATACACAAAGATGATGGGCATGACACCAAGCCCAGGTGTGCAGATCTTCTGTTTCTGTTTCTCTTTTGGACTTGATGATGAAATTGTCTGCACCTCTCCATTGCCTGTCAGCTTCTCTCTTTTCCATCACAATCACGCATCAGCAAATTCAGAGTGTTAATCAGCTACTGAAGTTTGTTGTCTTCACTCTGTTTTACAGAGCCACAAGCAACAAACTTAGTCTGCTGGGAAAGAGGTCAGGATGGAGGGTTGGAGTTGTGACTCATTTGGTAGGGTGCTTGCCCAGCATGTCCCAATCCCTGGGTTCAATCTCCAGCACCCCATAAACCAGGTGTAGTAGTTTACACTTGTAATCCCAGTGCTGCTTACACTGGGAGGTGGAGGTCAGAAGTTCAAGGTCATCCTTGGCTGAGTTTAAGTTCAGTTTGGGCTAAAGACATGGGGTGGGAGCACGTGCATTCGGGTGTGGGTGGGTGTCTAATGTACCCCAATGTAAGTGTGTGGCTAAAGTATTTTACTGTTTTAGTCATGACTCGATCTGTCTACTAACTTTGACAATCACTGGTATGGATGGCATGGAAATCCATTGCTTTCATGGTACTGTAATTTTTAATCTTATTCTATTAATGCTGTTGTTTATTTTTCTCCCTTTTCATTCCTTCTTGCAATCTATGATTTGAAACCAGAAAAGTGGAGAAATTTAGGATTTAGTTTGAACACAGCCAATTACATTCAGCCCTAATTGGGATCTCATAGATGTTATTTCTCTTTTATAAGTCCTACATCCTTTTGTACTGTCAGCACATATCCTGAGGTTCATAGAGCAATAAATGATAATAATCTTTAACCATAACCCTCAAAGCTCTCACCTTCACTCTCCTATTTGAGTTGTAGTAGACAGCCAGGCATCTCCTATGTAGAGGGGACAAGAACTACAGACAGACAAAGGTTCTTGGACATTTACTCAGATCTTCTGTTTCTCTGTCTAGGGCTTTTTCCATAATGTTCTACCCCACCCTTTGAGTGTTTGAACCAGTGAGTACACTAAAGTATCTCAGCTTTCTTTTCCTACCTGTAAAGTGGTGTCGTTAGAGTTGTTTTATTTCCTATTGTGAATGTCAGAATCTGAGATAGTATGTTGGAATTGTTTGCTTTTTAGGTACCTTAATAGTTAGCCAATAGTAAAAGGATGGAAGGATTTATAAGCATACTTTGTTTTATTGTCTCAGTTTATTGAGTTTTGCAGACCGATTGTTTTTATAGACTGAAAGTTTGTTCAGAAGTCTGTCAGTGCTGCTTTTCCAGCCTCACCAGATGATCTTTAACGGTTTCAGTCAGTGACATTGTTGGTTTTGTTTTCTGTCTCTGAGGCCCATGCATGATAAGACAAGTGCTTTTTCAAAATTGATCTGTGTGCCAACTTCTAATGTGTTTTAAAACTAAAGCCTGCTCATTGTTATTTTAGATATGATGCTGTTATACACTCAATATATAATATAAATGTAACTTTTAGATGCACTGGAGAACCCCCAAAATTGTGTGCCTTGTGTTACTGGGATGGTCTATACTATATATCCCTGATCTATACCTTCACACTCATTGCATACCAGTGACCTGCTGAATATCTGACAGTCATATAAGTGGCTGGATTGGGACTTGAGCCAGCTACTCTTTTGAGGATCACTTGTTTTCTGTAGAGTCCACCATAGTTAGAGAACTACTTATTAAATTAAAAGTTAGTTGGCCCTCTTCCCGGGGAAATGTATATATGCAGGATACTTTGCATATGATTCTGCAGTGTTTAGAGAAGTTGTCAGGCCTAGCCCTTTCATGAACATATATGATGAATCAGAGTATAGAAATGATTTGTTCAAAGTCACAGCTGAGCTTGATTCCTAGTGGTTGGTTCTAATTTAGAAAGTTTGTAATATGCAACTTGTAAAACAATAGACTTTTAATATTGAACAAATTTGGGGGTCATTACAAGTAGATTATGAAAAATCAAGTAAACAGTTTGTCTTTTTTTATTAAAAATTCATACAATATTTTCTTGATCACTGGTTCCCCTCAGATCCTCCTCACCTCACCCATCCAACTTTATGCCTTCTCTCTCCTTAGAAAACAGACAAATAAAAAAGAAACCAGAATTAAAAAAAAAAACCACAAAACCCAAACAGAAAAAAACAAAACACCAGAAACATACACACAAAAACAAAATCCATAAAAACACAGAATTGGAAACTATAATATAAAAGTCTTGATCTCCTTCCTCATTCTCTGGGGCTTTGAATATGTAATATATGGGTGTAGGCTTGCAGGTGCAATTCTCCGTTCAAAACACAGAAGAGATATTACTTTAACATTTAAAAGTCATAGCTATCAGCATGAAGCTATCTAACACAATTCTTAGATAGAATAAAATTGGATCTTTGTAGCTCCATGTAGCAGTTCAGTGGTAATGCGTTGAATTCTGCATAATTATAACTTAGAGCCTTTCTTTTCTGGTTTCTACCATAGATGCCATTCCAAGTTCAGATCAAATTCGAATAGCACCATCATTAAAAAGCCAAAGAGGTTCAGTGTGGACAAAAACAAAAGCAGCCTTCGAGAACTGGGAAGTAGAAGTGACATTTCGAGTAACTGGAAGAGGTCGAATTGGAGCTGATGGCCTAGTATGATCATTTCTGTTGCTTGAACCAGTATAGTTGCTTAAGCCACTGGATCCTAACTAGTCCCTCTTATGTATTTTCAGGCAATTTGGTATACAGAAAATCAAGGCTTGGATGGCCCTGTGTTTGGATCAGCTGATATGTGGAATGGTGTTGGAATATTTTTTGATTCTTTTGACAATGATGGAAAGGTATATTTATTGTTAAAACTGTTAGCCATTTTCCATTTTAATGTATTTTTAGCAGTTAGGCTGTGAGAAGGTAGTTTACTTGACACCTTAAACTAATAAAGAACTTGGTTGATAGCCTGTGTATGGTCATTAGTCTTGGTAGCAGAGAATCTCGCAACTAAAAGCTATGCAAGCATCATTTTTGCACACTAATTTGCAGTCAGGCTGGAGACCTAGCTCTGAGAAGCTGTCAGTGACTCACATCCTGTGTGTGCTTAGTGACTGTGAAATCACCAGCATGCGTCTCAGATGTGGGCAGTGAAGTCAGTAGAGCTTAGGAAGCCATGGCGGTGTTCAGGTGCCGGGCTTCACTGGCCCTCATACTCAGCTCCCCTTTGTTAATTACTTTTTGATCAGGCCGTTTTCCTGATGACATCTTGAAAATAAAACGCACTTAGATGCTGAAACAGGACTTGTGGCTTGGATGCTTTAAGACTGGCGGTCTTCCCTTTGGTTAGTTGTTACTGATTTTCAGAGGTCACTGTCAGCGATTTAAAGAAATTTTAATGACATTGAAAAAGCTTGGGCCATACTATTTTAAACATGTAAGATCCCTAGAATCTTAGCAGTGTGAGATTTCATAGCAAATGAAGAATGATGAGGTTTTCCATGAAAGATACTAAATAACTATATTCTCTTTATTTTTAGAAAAATAATCCTGCTATAGTAGTTATAGGCAACAATGGACAAATTAATTACGACCATCAAAAGTAAGTGTGACTTTACATTATTTCTTATTCCAACTTTCTTTGGATACCCCATGAAATATATTGCTTCAAATCTCAACACTCTCCAAATGAAATAAGATTTTTTTCATGAGCTGTTACAGTGTAACTCAGTGAAAAGGTCTGATTTCCGTTTGTGTTGTGAAGTTAGTTCTGTGAGCCACACTTTCCATGTTTATTCGAAGAAATTTAGTTTTCACCAAACTAAAGAGTTCACAGTCTGCCACTGTTTTCAACATTAATGTCACTGTCGGTGTGTTCCAGAGCTTCCAGGTATTGAGTGTAAGAAAATTACTTACCCACACCTGGCTTTGCTCTTTCCTACCGTGGTGACTACAGTGCTGGTAGTTCTTTACAATCCCAGGTGTACTGGTTTAAAATAGAAGTGCCTAGGCAGGTCCCTTTAGACTTAGCTTCCTTTGGCTTGGATGGAGTTGACAGATTTACATCTTTAAAAATTCCACGAGGGGCTGGGGATGTAGCTCAGTCATAGAGCATAGCCTGTGTGAGACTCTAGGTCCAATACCACAAAAAGATAAATGGAAGTGAAATCCCCCTGAGTGATTTGCATGGTGTCTTCTCTCATAATAGCATATTCTATGTCTCTTTAGACCCAGCAGTGGTAGGCTTCCCTTGCAGTGTCCCAGAGTTCTGACAGGAGTGGCCTTTCTGACTTCTGACTGACACAGGCCGTCATAAGTTTCACTGGAATTTGATATTTTTGAATCTTCCTGAGTCTTCACTACTAAAAAGCCTTTTTTCTTTCTTTCTTTTCTTCTCCCTTGTACTACAGTGATGGTACCACTCAAGCCTTAGCAAGTTGTCAGAGGGACTTTCGTAATAAACCCTATCCTGTTCGAGCAAAGATTACCTATTTCCAGAAAACACTGACAGTAAGTGACAGTAACGATAAACAATACTTTAGCATGGCTTTTCTTTTAAATTCTCAGAATTAACAGAAATTAATGTACTTAAACATGGGCATCCACACGTTTGTGTGAATGTAAGTGATTTCCTGCAGTGCAGCCTTACCAGTAGTTTCTGTTTGGTCAGAGGAGGTGTAAGCACCAGCTCCAAGATAGCATAAGCACACATCCAAGTCTTCAGGATACAAGTTAGGAGTAAGACAAAGACCATTCTCCCTGAAGAGTTTGCAGACCATAGTGTAGCTGTGTAGCATCACTGTGTTGTGTGACAAGGACTGTGACACAGCAGTAAGGGATTGTGACCTTGGAACCTGGGCCCTGAGATGACCCTGGAGAAAGTCCAGAGGGGTTTAGTTGAGATGCACCTCGGAGCAGGAGTAGGCAATGTGTGTGTGTCCCAGGCAAATAGTTTGCTGTAGAGTGACAATAGAGAACATCTTGGAAGTCGAGTGGAAAGGCTGGCAATACCTATTCCCGTGAGGAACTTTTAAGAGAGCTGGTATTCTCAGCGGGAAGGGAAATGGTGGAATTTGCAATTTTAACAAGTGCCTTGGGCCCAGAGCAAATCTTACAATAATGTGATGGGAACTAGGTGAGATGATCTAGGCTCTTAGACCCTTAAAGCACCACGTCTGCTGCATTGTACTTTAAATACAGCTTTGCATGCAGTTCTGTGAGATAGTCTCTCCATTTGCAGGGCTCCACTTACTGCCTGACCTGAGGTGATAGATGCCAAAAGGAGGAGAGAGGAGAGATGAGCAGCACGGTTACATTTGCTCACCTAGGGTAATGCAGAGCATTTGTATTCCTGCTGTGTGATCTATTCATGATCATGGCTCCCCAAGGCTTTACAAGAGAGGAACTTACTCTCTTCATTGTAAGAAGTGTTAAGCTATCAACATTTTCTCTTTTTGAACCTTAGACAAATAATGGACAACAAAATTAAGTGAATGGTCTTGCTGTGTAATGATGGTTACTAAGTGATTTTATTTCAAATTACCCTTTGTAGAGCTAGGGAGATGGCTCAGTGGATAAGAACTTGCCGTGCAAGCCTGACAGCCAGAGCTCAGATCCTTGGAAACTATGTAAAAGCTGAGAAAGTGTGGCCATCTGGAATCCCAGCCCTCAAGAGGCAGGGCAAGATGGCTAGCTGGTCTAGAGAATCACTGAACTCAATTTAGGGACCCTGCCTCGATAAGTAAAGGGGAAAGTGATTATTGAGGTGGATAGCCGGTGTCAACTTCAGGTCTCCAAATACTCACACATGTGCAAGCATGCATACACAAACAGTATCCATATATAAAAGGAGTTATAACAATTGATGGAAGCAAGAGCAAATATTGATCACAAAATCCTAAAATTTATTTTTAAATGTGTCTTAAGAATCTAAAGCTGTACTGTGTCTTCCTAGGTCATGATCAATAATGGCTTTACACCAGATAAAAATGATTATGAATTTTGTGCCAAAGTGGAAAATATGATTATCCCTACACAAGGGCATTTTGGGATATCTGCTGCAACAGGAGGTCTTGCAGGTAAATCTTACCATCTTTTCATATTGAAAGCTTGTGAATGATTCTTACTGGTACTCATTTGTTTACAGTATATAGACTAGATTCCTTTTTACTTCTGAATCTCTTTGGAGTCTTCCCTGGTCTGTTCTACCAGTCTTTGGCTAGGTTGGAGCTGCATGGTTGCTTATAAATGACACTATTCTTTTAGGCACACTTTGTAGTGAAGGGGACATATTTAAAGTTGAGGATATAAAAAGTTACTTCCCAAGTGTTTGGGGACCCTTAAAAATTGCTTTATCATATACAAAAGACTTTGGAAACCCAAGGAAATATTATTTGGGTGCAAACTTTAAATGAAAAATAATGGCTGTTATTTTCCACATATGTTGATAAATGAGGTTTCTCCACACCAATACAGCTTTGTACTCATACAGCACTTTGCCATTTTAAATACTTCCAAAACTATAGATTGTTCTATACAACCCAAACAGAGAGGGAGGAGGTATATGTTCCTGTGACACACACGCGCGCGCACACACACACACACACATACAGACACACACACACACACACACATACCCCCCCACCCCCACCCCCACCCCTGGTCTGGATTTGTGATTCTTGACTGTTCAGCACATGATCTCTCCTCAGGTTACCCAGTCTGCAGCGCATCGTGTTCTGTATACCTAGCTGCCTCTTCAGATCTCCCTGAGAGAGGCGGATAGAAGGATGTAGCACACTTGAAATAAGTCACTCCCACCATGGATGTAGTCAGCCAGGATTGGCACAGCAGTTCACTGCCGTGAGGTCCAGTCTCCTTAGTTCCTGCTATTGGCTTAAACAACTTGATATTAGTTTGACTACATGGTTTAGATAAGATGGAAGTATTATTATCATCCAGTTGAGAAAAGCAAGTATGAAAGGCCAGAGCTAGCGTGTACCAAAGGAAGGCACTGGGAATAGGTGGACAGGGTTTTGTGCACTTGGAACAGGACTGTATCCGTGCAGGAGGCTGGAAAAGTGTAGGCGGCGCCTTCACTTGTCAGATACTCACCATTCACTAACTTCACTCCACTTAAACCCTGCTGCTCCTGCTGACTTGGGGTTGAGGGTTTAGAGCAGTTCTGAAGTCTGTCTTTCATAAGTAATAAATACCTGTCAAGTAAATTCACAACTATGAAACAATTACTAGAGCATTTCTTGAAACTTCTTAAATTTGTAGATGACCACGACGTTCTTTCTTTCCTGACTTTCCAATTAACTGAGCCTGGAAAAGAGCCAGTGAGTACACTTTTTTCCAAACAGTTAATTCCCAGTTTTCAGTGGGGTTCTTCAGCTGTGGGTTTTGAGAAGACTGACGTTAGTCTGGGTCTTGTTTCAGTCCCTGCCATTTGGTCTTATATAACCCTGAACCCCCTCTGTAGCATGTCGTTAATATGTTCAGTGGATACCTCTTGATGTTGTCAGGATTAAGTGAGACACATGTGCTTATAGTAAGTGCTCATTAAATGGTAGTAGTTACTATGATTTTTGGCATTATTAAAACCAAGAACAAATTAGCTGTCGTTACAGACTATGGACACCCCCATGAAGGGCCTCACCCTCCCTGGGGAAAGGAGGGGGTAATGGGGGTGGTGGTGGGAGGGTATGGGGAGGAGGGGAGGGAAAGGGAGAGGGACCTGGGATTGACGTGTGAAGCAACCTTGTTTCTAATTTAAATTTAAAAATAAAAAATAAATAAATAATTAGCTGTCATTAAGTAAAGGACGACCTTCAAGCCAGTTGTGGAGTACTGAGCATGAGAAAAGGGACAGATGCCAAGATATCTCACCAGTTCCCTTTCTTATGACCTGTTCTTCCTCCAAAAAAGCCTACACCAGAAAAAGACATTTCAGAAAAAGAAAAGGAAAAATATCAAGAAGAGTTTGAGCACTTCCAACAAGAATTGGACAAGAAGAAGGAGGAATTCCAGAAAGGGCATCCTGACCTCCAGGGACAGCCAGGTAAGTTTTAGCTGCGATGGCTCTGTGGGAACACTTGGTTTTGTACTGTCCGCCTCTTCTCGTCTGTCTCAGCACACTCAGGAATTGCTGGGAACAGTGACAAAGCAAACTGAATCCTTCAGAGTCTGAGAGGTGACTTGTGAGGTGTGAATGAAGGACACCATAGTTGTGTGAGTGAACATGAGCCACTGGGCTGGAACTTGGTGAGGATGGCATTGACACGTTTACCACTGTGTTCTCTAAACTAAACAAATGAAACACAAGACGGTGCTGCCTCATGGGTAAGTGCTAAATAAAACCATCCAAGACCGCTGTCTCCTTTCAGTGTTACACAGTGGCCTTTATTGAAAAGCTCGGACAGTTTTATATAGGTGTACAGTGTATTGGAATTATCTCTCTCCATATCCCTGTGTTACCTTTCTTTCCCTCTGAACTCAACTGGCCCAATAGTTGCCAGATCTTAGAAGAAAATGACACCTTCTTCCCCAGCACCTTCTCCTTACTGCTGAGAATCCAGACTTCAATGGTGGAAATTTTTTAAGTGCTAGTGTAAGCCAGAGAAATTGAGACTTTATATGTTGTTACATCCTCAAAAATATAACAGTGCAAAGGCCCAACAAACTATACACTTAGTATCTGCCAGGTTTATGTCTAGTCTGTCCCCATCAGCTTGAAGGAATGCTTGATAAGCCCATGTCTAGCATTTGAATGCTGTGTAGTGTACAGTTCCCAGTTGCCAGTAATATGGTAAACATCATGTCGTTTGTGACTGTACCCTGAAGCTGCTTGTAGTAGGTATATAGAGAGCACAGCCGGTTGTTGACAATTATGGGTGACAACCTAAGCATCACCATATAAGTGCATGGAATATTTCTTTTTCACCCCAGAAAGTTCTCTGATTCTATAAACCTGCTCTCCACATAGCCTGTCACTGTTTTGATTTCTGTTACTCCAGGTTGGTTCTCCCTAGTAAAATTACACAATACATATAAAACAAAATTATTTTAAGTGAAAAAGTTCAGATAGTAGTTTAGTCATGTCTGAACTGATTGGAAGTTTATACTACTGTGTTGGTAATGCTCTGGTTTTGGTGTATATCAGCACCTGATCTGTTAGAGTATTTCAAAGCCGGAGGTGTGCAGAGGACTGTAATGATTGTAACTTATGATTACTCTTCAGCGGATGACATATTCGAGAGCGTAGGCGATCGAGAGCTAAGACAGGTCTTTGAAGGACAGAATCGTATTCATCTGGAAATCAAGCAACTTAACAGGCAGCTGGATATGATCCTTGACGAGCAGAGGAGATACGTCTCTTCCTTGACAGAAGAGATCTCCAGGAGAGGAGCAGGGACCCCAGGACAGCCTGGGCAGGTCAGTGTTCCCACACAGTGCCCCAGCCAGAACAGCACTGACTCATGATCGGTGGATGCTAAGCTGCTTCGTCTTGTTTCCCTGTAGGTCTCTCAACAGGAGCTAGATACAGTTGTGAAAACCCAGCATGAGATTTTGCGACAAGTGAATGAGATGAAGTGAGTATCCAACGATCATGTTTGAGTGTTCTGTTCCCTTGTCCTAAAGAAGCTTGTGTGCCTGCTCTCCTGTGTCAGTGTCCTTCAGGAAGGCAAGCTGCAAATGTCCAAATTTTAAAAATCATAAGCTGAAAAAAGGGGGGAAATTCTTCAATATTTGCATCTTTAAAAACAAAGAGGTTTGCTGTAGTGATTTGAAACCAGGTGTATGCCTATCTTTGGAAATTATGGGAGTGTGGAGTGAGCTGCTGTAACTCCATGAGAAATACTCAGGGTAGAAGGACATTTACTGTGGCAGGTCAGGAGAACAGGCATACTTGCTCAGGAATTTCCTTTTGATGCCGTCTTCTGCCCTATGACAGCCTGGACAGGTTGGAATAGACAAAGTCCAGATAGTTGAATGACAAATCTCTTATGAGGATGGCTGACTCATACAGATAGCCCACCTTCTCAGTATCTGGAACAGAGAACACAGCCTGTGTGTGTTTTCATAAACTAATGCTTCAGTGTTCCCACTCAGTTCAACCCTTGACAGCAAAGTGTCAAAGTGAGCCTTTTAAGGGCTGAACATAGGACCAGGTTAAGCAGAAGAAGCTCAACAGACACGGCTGACAGCTGGAAATTTGTATTTTGCTCCTTAGTGTTTAAGAAACATTTTTGTTGTTGGGTCACAATCCCCAAGTGGATACTTGTGCTGTTCAAATAGTTTAGCTAAATGAATAGATTTCTTTCAGAAGTTGACTGGGTTATATAACATAGTATTTTTTATTTTGCTACAATTTTTACAAGTTTTATTATTTATGTATATGAATGGTTTTGTGTATATGTATGTCCATACCTTCAGAGGCCAGAAAATGGTGTTGGATCCATGGAACTGCAGTTAGAGATGGTTGTGAGCCATCATGCGAGCTAGGCCCTCTGGGAGAGCAGCTGGTGGTACTCTTTAAGGAGCCATCTCTCAAGTCCCTTATTTTCTTTTTTTTTTTTTTTAAAGATTTATTTATTATGTATACAGCATTATCCTTGCATATATGCCTGAAGGTCAGACAGGGTACCAGGTCTCATTATAGATGGTTGTGAGCCACCATGTGGTTGCTGGGAATTGAACTCGGGACCTCTGGAAGAGCAGTCAGTGCTCTTAACCTCTGAGCCATCTCTCCAGCTCCAAGTCCCTTATATTCATATGAGTTTGAACTGCAGAAGCTATGAAAGTGGTATATTAAGTCTCCATGTATCTTTCACCCATCTTTTAATGTTGGTATTTTACATAATCACTATATGATTGTAAGAACCAGGGAATTAACATACTATATGATCAACAAATGACCTGGGTGTGCGGCTTGATTACAAGTTTTCACTTTACTGTGATTTGAAAGTGATACACATGTATTAAAAACTACTACAGATTTACAGATTTTGAACTTTATCCTGGGCTATGGTTATTGGTATGATACTGCAATGGTAGGCAGTGGCATCTAACCTCAAATATTAGTCAACCATTCATTCAAGAGGGTCAGCAAGCAAAACTCTGCTATGCTGTGTGCTGATCCAAAGTGTTCTATGTACTGGGTGTATTAAACATGCTTTTCATTTAGTTTATGATAGCATTATTCAGACATGATGCCCCATAAAACAGGGGTCATTCTCCAAATAGTGTGGGATGATCTTCCAAGCCTTGGTGTTTAGAATTTTTACTAGAGGACATTCACATAGGTAAGGTTCCCTGAGCTGACGTTCAGTAACTTTTCATTCCCTCTGGAGGTCAGTCCTTTAAGGTTCCAGGTGAGCAAAGCAGGCCTGCTCACATCACAGTGTATGCGTAGATTGTCCAGACCTACCTCGTGTTGCAGAATCAACCAGGGACTCATAGGTCTCCTGGGACCTGGCATTACACCAGGTCCAGCTTCACTCTTCTGAATACATATTTCTGTCCTAAGGTTCTTTTTCCCCCTTTTCCCTCCCCTCCCCTCTCCTCCCTTCCCCTCGTGTCTGCTCTTTTCAGGCAGGGTCTCACTGTATAGTCCAAGCTGGGCTTCAGTTCCCAGTCCTCTTGCCTCAGCCCAAGTATGGAGCTTATGGGTATATGCCACTGTGTCTGTCTTCTGGTTTTGTATTTGTTTTGTTGGACTTTCTGGGGTTTTTGTTTTTTTAATGATCTGATGTGTTGAACTTAAAAAGGAATACCCATTTGAAATATATAACTGGAAACAAAAAACAAAGCCCTTGTGATTTCAAAGAGATTTTATATTCCAGGAACTCCATGAGTGAAACGGTCCGGCTGGTGAGTGGCATACAGCATCCCGGCTCAGCGGGCGTCTATGAGACAACCCAGCACTTCATGGACATCAAAGAGCACCTGCACGTCGTGAAGAGAGACATCGACAACCTTGCGCAACGCAGCATGGTAAGGTGGTTTCCTGTGTCGTGGTTTTGAGCTATGCTATGCTCTTTCCTAACTGTTCCATGAGTTCTGAAAGCTTTTGGATTTGGATTTCCTAGGTAGAAAGCAGAAGCCTGTGTCTGCACGTGTCATTACTTACTAGGCAGAAGCAAAGAATGAGGGTTTTGTGTATGGGATTTACATTACCAGACAATGAAAATATTTGTATTTCTATTTTACTATCCTCTATAATCTATGCTTTTTATCTTGTTTGAGAATTTATACATGGTTATGAGGTGGGTTTTTTCTTTTTTAATTGAAAATAGATATTTTTAATAATATATTCTGATTATAGTTTCCCCTTTCCAAACTCCTTGATGGTGCCTCATTTGGTAACAAGAAATGTCCAGTTGGGGCTCCATCTCCCCAGTTATTTGGCAAACACATTAGATCACCTTTGTATTTGTATGTATTTAGGAAGCTTCCACTATATTAGGTTTCCATACAGTCCCTCAATGGCCCTTAGTTTTAGCTGTCCCCCCTCATTTTTCCTCTCTCAACTCCTTTTTCTTCCCCATCCCCATTTGCTCTTACTGTTTCAGTTCCCCTCCCCATCCCCATCTGTAAATATGTTTCTTCTTCCTGGAGTCATCCAATCCGTCTCCTTACTTCCTTACCCTGTAACCTTTGTGACTGTATGAATTGTAGCCTGCTTATCAAGGACTTAACAGCTAACATCTACATATATGCAGATGAATACCATTTTTGTTCTTTGGGGTCTGGGTTATCTCACTAGGGATGATTTTATTTCTGTCTCCATCTATTAACCTACAAATTTCATTTTTTTATAACAGCTGAGTAATATTCAACTGTATACATGTAACACATTTACTTTATCCATTCATACTTTGGCAGACATCTGGTTTGTTTCCAATTACTGGTTACTATGAATAGAGCAACAATGAACATGGTTATGCCCAAGAGTGGTAGAGCTGGATCTTGGAGTAGATCTATTCCTACTTTGTGTATATGCCCAAGAGTGGTAGAGCTGATTCTTGAAGAATATCTATTCCTAGTTTCCTGAGGAACCACTTATTTCCATAACGGCTGTAGAAGTTTACACTTCCACCAGCCATGGATAAGTGTTCCTCTTGCTCCATATCCTCACCAGTATAAACTGTCATTTGTTATCTTGGCCATTCTGATTGGCATAAGATCAAAGTATTACTTGCATTTCCATGATAAAAGAAGATGTTTCTTTAAGAGTTTCTCAGCCATTTGAGTTTTCTCTTTTGAGAACACTGTTTAGAACTGTATTCCATTTTTTAGTTAGGCTACTTTTTTGATGTCCAGTTTTTTTTATATATTTTAGATATTAGCCCTCTATTGGATGTGTAGTTGTTAAATATTTTTCCATTTGGTAGGCTGCCACTTTTTCTGAATGGTGTCGTCTTTTACCATACAGAAGCTTTTCAATTTCATTAGGTTTCTTAGTTAGGGTTTCTGTTGCTGTGAAGAGACACTGTGACCAAGGCAAATCTTACAAAGGAAAACATTTAATTGGGGCTGGCTTACAGTTCAGAGGTTTAGTCCATTATTGCCATGGCAGGAAACATGGCATGCAAGCAGACATGGTGCTGTAGAGGTAGCTGAGAGTGCTATATATTGATCGGCAGGCAGCAGGAAGAGACAGTGAGCTACTAGGCCTGGCTTGAGTGTCTTGAGACCTCAAAGCCCACCTCCAATGACACACTTCCTCTGAAGACCACATCTATTCCAACAAGGCCATCCCTAATAGTGCTACTTCCTATGTTCCTATAGGGGCTGTATTTATTCAAACCACCACAATGAGGCTCACTTATGGTTATTCTTAGCTCCTGTGCTATTGGTGTTTCATTGAAAAAGTTGTTTCCTGTGTCAGTGAGCTCAAGATTATTCCTTTTTATCTTCTACCAGATTTATTGTGTATGATCCATTTGGAGTTGTGTGTGGGGTGATAAGTATGGATATACTTACATTTGTCTACGTGCAGATACCCAGTTTGAGCAGCACCATTTGTTGAAGATGCTGTCTTTTTTTCCAGTGTGTATTTCTGGCTTCTTTATTGAAAAAAAAAAAAAAAAGGTGTCCGTAGGTGTGTGGATTTATATCTGGGTTGTCAATTCTGTTCCCTTTATCAGCATGTCTGTTTTTCTGCAAATACCATATAGTAATAAAAACTGCGATTCAGTTGTGCAGTTTGAGGTTGGGAATGGTAATACCTCCATTCTTGTTCTTGTATCATTCAGAAATGTTGTAGCTATCCTGGGTTGTGTGTGTGTGTATGTTTTCATATGAAGCTAAAAATTGTCCTTTCAAGATCTGTGAAGAATTGTTGGAATTTGATGAGGATTACATTAAATCTGTAGGTAGGATGTTGTTTTTACTATGTTAATTCTACTGTTCCATGAGCATGGGAAATCTTTCCATCTTCTATATCTTCTTCAGTTTCTTAAATTTCGTGTCATGCAAGTCTCACTTGTTTAGAGTTACACCAAGATATTTTAATTTTTTGGAGACTGTTGTGAAAAGTATTGATTCCCTGATTCTTTCTCAGTCTGTCATAATAATCAGAAGGTTACTGGGTATTTTTTTTTTTGGTGTGTTAATTTTGTATTGTTTTATTATGTTGAAAGTTTGTCAGCTATAGAAGCTTCCTGGTGGAGTTTTTAGGGTCACTTATGTATACTTCTGCCTTAGCTAGGGTTTTACTGCTGTGAAGAGTCACCATGACTACAGCAACCTTATAAAGGAAAACATTTAATTGGGGTTGGCTTACAGCTCAGAGGTTTCATTCATTATCATGGTAGGAATCATGATCGAATGCAGGCTGGAGAGGTAGGTGAGATTTCTACATCTAGATCCACAGGCAGCAGGAAGAGAGCATGACAAGGGACCTGACTTGAGCTTCTCAAACCTCAAAGCCCATCTCCCTCAAGACACACTTCTTCCAACAAGGCCACACCTCCTAATACAATTTCCTGTGGCCTTATGAGGACCATTTTCATTTAAATCACAACTAGGGTATCATTTACAAATAGATTAACTTTTTTTCTTTCCAATTTTGTATTCCCTTGATCTTCAGTTGTCTTATTGCTCTAGCTCAGGCTTCAAGTACTATATTAAAAATAGGTATGGAGATAGTGAACAGTCTTGTTCTTAGTGGAAATGCTTTGCGTTTCTTTCCATTCATGTTGTGATGTTGACTGTGGGCTTACTGAAAATAGCCTTTATTATTTTAAGGTATGCCCTTTGTATCTTAGACACTCCAGGACTTTTATCATGAAGAGTGTTGTATTTTGTCAAAGTCCTTTTCTGCATCTTACGAATTGTTTTGGGTAATCATGACATTTCATTCCCCTGTTTATGCTTTCACACATTTCATTAATGGACTTATTCATATCCTCTTTAAGGGCTGCAAACAAATTCATAATAGCCATTTTGAAGTCCTTGTCTTGTGCTCCAGCTATATTGCATTTCTTACGGCCTACTCTAGTAGGGTTGCCAGGCTCTAGTGGAGACATACTTTCCCTGTGTGCTAATGTGTTTTTATGCTGGTGTTAGGCATCTGGGTTTGGAATGATTGTGATTCTAGGTGTTGTCTTTGTTGGGCGAGTTTTCTAGTCCTTGATTTCTGTTGCTCTTTGGAGCTGGTGGCAGTGCCTTTTTCTCGTAAGGAGCGCTTCTGGGTCCCTGGCAGGTGTGGCCACTGTATGTCCTTAATAGACATGTTTCTAGGTGTTGGGGTTTACATTCAGGATTGGGAATAGGCTAAAATTGCTGGAGGCTGAGAAGATGAACAGGAGGGAGGAAAGCTGTTTGCTAAGATCTCTGGGGTCTGGAGGAAGGGAGAGAAGGCTGGCCCTGCAGGTGGCCCGCTACAGTACTGGGAATGAGACTGGGGGATTTGAATTGAATGACTAGAATAGTGAAGATCACCTTCCCGATCCTCAGATGGGTTTGGTCAGTGGGTTTCCAGGGAGAGAAAAACTAAGTTGTTAGCCAGTGCGACAAGGGGTGGGATGAGGAAGGCAGGCTGTAGGAGAAGATCTGAATATTGGGTGTTTTGATCAGACCCATTCCCTCTCCTCCCCCCCCCCCCATGTACTCTTTAAACCCACTGAGACCACTTAGTGCTGCCTGTGTGTGCATGAGGGCCACCCACCAGAGCATTGGGATCACATCCCTGAAGAGAACCGACTCTCCTTCCCCCAGCAGCCATCTAGAGTAGGACTTTATTAGCCCTGAGATTTTAGCTGACTTGATCTTGTGTATTGTTGTGAGTCTGTTTTTATAAAGCATATGTCTTTGGCATATTTTCTCCCAAGGATCTGACCTACAATTTTCTTGCTATTTTGTTATTATATCACATCAGTTAGGTTTTCTGAGATTAGATAGTTAATTTAAGATTGTGTTGAGTGTTTTCCTTGGCAGGCTAATAGCCTTGTATAGCATGTATTTAGAATATGGTTGGTCCTAATCAAACTTAGAAGCAGCAGGACACAGGGGCTGGAGAGAGGTTAAGAGCACTGGCTGCTCTTCCAGAGGTCCTGAGTTCAATTCCCAGCAACCACATGGTGGCTCACAACCATCTATAGTGAGATCTGGTGCCCTCTTCTGGCATCCAAGCATACATGCAAGCAGAACACTGTATTGCAAATCTTAATAGTTTTCTTATTGACCTTGGCTTTTCAGGCAAGTCATATTTTAGTTTTGTTTGAAGATATTTTCCCTCTTTGTTGTAATGGCCAACTTGGTGCTGTAAATGGATATGTCTTAAAACTATGCCTCATAGATGCAGTCAGATTGAGAACAATCAATCCTAGAAGCCACTGTGTGACATCTTTGTCCCTGATGTTTAATTAGCCCCTGTCTTATGGAGACAGAAGATGGGACAGTTTTCAGAAGTCACTGAGGTTTGATGTTGTGAGATTGCAAGGGATGTGTCAGGGAACAGAATTCTGTTTAAGTAGTTTGTTGGTAAGTAGCATGTAATTTACCGTATGAACTGGAACACTACTGAAGTCTGTGCTGTTGGTTGTGTGCCAGTACTGGAAGCATCCAGGGCAGTAGGAGTTTGTGGGAACCCATTCTCTCGAACTTTGAAGGCACTGAAATCATCATTTGTAGTCAAAGCAGGGAAGGGCAGCTGGCACCAAGTTGGCACAGTAGGAACCTTATGTCAGCTGCTCTGTGAAAGAAAGGATTTCAAAAGTAAAAGTTAAATGGGTGGAAAGTATCTAGGGGAATGAGTAAATGAAAGTACTGTTTACCTAACAGACTTCTATAAGATATCACACTTGTATCTTTCCAGGCCATTAATTTAACCCACATTCTTTGCTTTACAGCCATCCAATGAAAAACCCAAATGCCCAGAACTACCACCCTTTCCATCATGTTTATCCACCATCCACTTTGTCATCTTTGTAGTGGTACAGACAGTGTTGTTCATTGGCTATATCATGTACAGGTAAGTCTCTTGATGACATTTGACCTGACGTGTTTGGGGACAAAATACTTGTAGAATTAAATGGGACCTTAATGCAGCTTTCATGTACAGGCAATTCATTACCAAGCAAATTTGTTTACTAGTCTATTGGGTGTGCATGCTTGGAGTGTGTTTCTCAGTATTTTCTATTTCAGAGGGCACTGATAGTTTAAACAATCCCATTTCTTTCCCAAGTATATAGAACATCTGTTTTTCTTTTTTAGGACTCAGCAAGAAGCAGCTGCCAAAAAATTCTTTTGACCTTCATTTTCCTATGTATCATGTATGTATGTATGTGCAAATGTCTTTTTGAGGGGATTTAGTATTTAAATCACTTCATAGTCTTAAGTTATTAAGTTTTATAAAAAATAACTCTTAAAAACATTCATTTTTCAGTAAAAATAAATCTTACAAGTCTTTAAATTTCAGTGAGTTTCTGGAAGGCAGAGTGCAGTCACTGAGCAGAATAATGGCAAGTCAAGACAAACTAGGGGCAGCCAGTGACTGTGGGCATTACCTGCTCCATCTCTGGTATTGGAGGGTTCTTTATTTATATAAACGCACTTGCCTTTCTTCCCAGAATGTGAGATCTAAACATGAGCACTCTATTCATGTGAGTCTTGTAACAAAATCATTGTTAGAAGTGAGAATTCCCTAATACAAGAGTGGGTTCTAGAGTCTTTGGTCCCAACACAGCTCCCTCTGGGATCAGTCACTTGTCTGAGAGCTTTAAACTAGATGCCAGGCATCAGAGCATTTAATGAAATGTTTTCCCCTCTATTTTTAATGTGTATTTCACTTTTAAAGGAAATTTTGGTGGAAAACTAATTACTTTTGCCTACATCATTTAGGTGAGAACAATCCTATGACCGTGACTTTAATGGGTATTTTGCCTGGTGGTGTATTCATGATGGCCATTGTCTTGAATGTCTTTATTCCAATAATGTCAATTTGATATTACAGAACTAATTTTTATACTTTTAATTTGTGGAGTTTATTTCTCCCATTTTGTCAAACATGTAGTTAGCACTAATTACATGTTCTGCAGCTGTTTTAAATTCACAGGACTTACTAGTACATTCTGGTTTGTGATTTGCAAACTTAAATTGAGGTGGCTATGGCAGAAGCAGTTCTGAGCTATTTGAAAGCAAATTTGTAAAACACTTAGCTGTTTCTCCTTTAAGTGCTAGAAATAAGGATGCTGTGAAGAGTCTGGTAGGACTTGATATCAGCAGTTAGTTGTTGGTATTTGAAAAACCACCTGTGACATTTTAAAGTGCAGATTTCACTTTTCTTTTCACAGCTGGGCTAGACTTTCGCTGGATTCAAGACAATTTACCTCTTATTAAAGTAATGGTCTCGTTTGCTATGGGATCCAGCACACCACTGTTTAATAGGATATGCAACTAAATTGTTGTAAGCCTTCGTAAGTTTTCTCTCCAATGTCATTTGCGGATTGGGCTAACAACCTAAAATCTCTATGAAGACTTTACGAAGAGCACTCAGTGCTGTGCACTACCTAACTAGCACTGCGTGTGCAGTCTCGCCTTGCATTTTACACTGGCATTCATCCTAGATCTCAAACACAGTGCACTCACAGTGGCTGTGTGAAACTCTGTGGAATTGGCACTTTGAAACTCATGTTCCACAAGTGTCATCTTCCACAATTTACTTATAGTTAAAAAGAAGAAGAACCCTTCAGGGAAATGTCAAATTGTAGACATCGGGAAATCTTGAGATAAAAAGGCTGTCTAAGCCAGTATTTTGTTACAAAGTCCATAGTCTTGTGCCTGAACCTTAAAGGAATCCCAGATCTGGGGAGTGTACATTTTTCAAGTCCAAGGGGAAGTGCACTGATGATTCCTAGTGTGATTTCAGCTAGCCATTGTAGCAGGAGTCTTTTAAAAGTCTCTCAGCCAGGTAGTTGACATGATATATCTCTGTTTTCCTCAAGATCATTCAGTCTAAAGCCTCTGAGCAAAACCCTGGGCTGTGGGAACTCACCACTGCCAGAGTCCTCCATTCTGTAGTGTCCTGTTAACTGCAGTAATTTAATTCTCACACCAGCAAGTACTTTACAGGTGCCTTGGATTAAAACAAAATTTATTTTAACACTTTAATGTAATTTTATGATACCACTTTTAAAAGAAATTGCAATTATGTAATTGCTGATAGGCTTGTGTAATACTCCATTTGCGTTATAATTATTTGAATGCTTTTTTAGCGTAAAACTTCACCATGAAGTCACAAACAATAACCAGTGTTTTATCACATATTGAATGCATGTTAGTGTTTTTTAGAGTATGGCCCATGGACCAGCCATTCAGTTCATGGAATGTTCATTTGGAATACAGATTCCAAGGCCCCATTCTAATCCAGCTGCATGACAACTTGGGTGGGGCTTCTGAGTGTCCATTCCCCAGACAGCACACTGACAGTTGAGAACCACCGAAATGAGGAGTAGGAAAAGGTGTGTGATGGCTGTTTGTTTCATTGGCTCTAAGCTGAGCTGCGCACATTTTCACTGTCGTTGAGATCAGCAACTCTGCAGGTCTTCTGTGCTTGTGTTTTGTTAAAACACATCAGCAACTACAAACTAACTCCAGGTTGGCTGACCTCTTGGCGCTTCAGTGATGACTTTGAAACTTGTAAATCATCTTTGGCTCTTGGCAAAGCTAAAGCCTGCCTGTTGAAGCTGTGGCCTTCCTGATTGTCACCACTTTTTATCTCAGACAGCTGCACATGTTGATAACTTGAGGAAAATGGAAAGACTTGAATAAGGGGTTGCTCACCTGCTTTCTCTACGGAGAACCAGTCTTTGGGAAGAAAAGCCGATTGGTTGCCGGGGTGTGATTCTCTCGAAGCACTCACATGCTGGTTGGAGAGAGGCGATACACAAATTAGTCATTGGGAATTTTGTGTTTGTAAGATTTAGGGTGAGATCAGCTCTTGCAACTTTAGATCTTTATGTTGCCCATTTTAAGATATTTCTTTTATGATGTTAGAGTTTAAAAGGGTTTTCTGTCCACTGTCAATTTCAATAATATAACATTTTGTCAAGGGTTTTTTGTTTTGTTTTTGTTTTGCTTTTGTGATTGTTACTTGATGCTAGCTGGAATTCAAGAAATGTCAAATGACCTTATTCAAATAAAAGGAATATTTTAGTAAATTGGTTTTTTCCATCATTGATTTGATGTTGGGGTCTAAGTAGCTATTTTCCAAACAGGCCTCTGTTTGCAGTTGTATTTTATTTATCTGTGATCTGCACCCTGACGCCCTGTTTCCTCTCCAGTTGCTCACAAGCAGATTTAAGAGAAGTTGGGTTATTCATTTGGCTTGTAATTCCCAGTTAGAGCACATCGTTTTGGGGAAGTCAAGGCAGGCACTTGAAGCACCTAGTCACATCCAGTCAGGAGCAAGGAGAAAAGGAATGGATGACTGCCTGCTGGTATGTATGACTACCCCTGCCCTACACTGAAGTCAGTAGATTGTGCCATCCCACAATGAGCAGCACCCCCACACACCTCCATGCACACAGGGAAATCTGTCTCCTACAGAAATGCCCAGAGATCAGGCATCAGCAATCCTCAGACATCAGCAATCCCTCTTTGAGATGCTCTGCCCAGGTTATTCTAGATTTTGTCAAGCTGACAATTAAAACTGACCATCACACCTGTCCAGGCCCCTGCCATCTGTGGCATCAACTCGTGGAGAGAGAAGGTGGCAAGAGAGCGGAAATAGCGATGGATAAATGTTTACCTTTGCTGGTGCTGAAAAGTACCTATTAGTTAAAACGATGTATTTGGTGTTTTTATCCTTTAATCACCAAACGCTGAAGGCTAGAGATGGAGAGCACTGATGGAACCTGTGTAACACCTGTGGGGCACTTGGTTCAATTCCCAGAACCACACAAAAGCATAGAAACTTAATCAAAAGCTGGCACAAGTGTAGGTAGTTTGGCTGGAATAGTCAGTTACTTCTAATTAGTAGCAATGTCTAAAAATTAGCCCCCATTGGTGGGAATTTATTATAATTCTAGCACTGGGGAGGTAGAGGGAGAAGATTGAAGTGAAAGACCGAATGGATTTATGCTATTTGGATATGCTCTCTAAAATTTAATTCCATTAATGAGATTATTGTTAAGTCCTTAGGTCAGATGCCATCAATTTTTCGAGCTGAGTAAGTTACAACTAATCAGTATTTCTAAAGGGGAGCCATTAAATCAAGATTAGACGTGATTTAAGAACAACAAAATAAAACAAGAAATAGCATGGCAGCCCAGGAAGCAGGTAGACTAACTGCAGATTTTTACCTCTCCCTCTTCAGATCCAGTCCAATCCCTAACTGAGCACCCACTGAGACCTTCCCTCTCTCCCTGCTCCCATCACTTTATCCCAGCTCCAACACCAGCAAGCATTCCTTGGGAACACTCAGGCCAGGGAAGCAAGTAGGCTAACCAATTACCACCTCTCCCTAGGCCAGCCATGCAAGTAAGCGAACTTCAGATCCATAAGCGCCTGTCCTCCAAATCCAAACACCTCCCCTCCAGTCTCACCTCAGCTCTGTAGCGACAGCCTGCTGTGGGCCTCTCCTGCTCTGCCCCCATTCTTAGGGGACTAAGCAGAACCTGATGAACACACCTTACTTTCCTCCCTCCTTTGAGCCCCCCCCACCAGTCCATCCCCATTCCTAAGTGTCAGTTCCCAATACTTAGGTTTTTATCCAGACCCTCAGTGACCACACCTGGCAGCACCTCAGAAGCATTCCCTACCAGGCAGCACACAGCCACTACACTCTCCTGAGAACAAATAGGGCAGTAGACCCCCCTTCACCCATTACCACCTGTGGCAGGTGAGAGAGCTGGTCCTGACCCCCAGTGGCTGCAGCACACAAGCGGGCTCTGACACCACACACACACACACACACACACACACACACACACACACACAATCTGGGCAGCACACTAGAGCCGACTCTTGTCAGGGACACAGGTGAGCCAAGCCTCATACACAACTGAGCCAGCCCTGAGGGCATGAGAGCAACAGAGCTGACCCCACCCACCTTGTCTGCCATGGCATGGATGAGGGAAAGATGCCTTCCCTATTTTGACCTTTGCTATCTGGGAGGCAAGAGAGCTGGTTCTGTGTCACAAAAGTGAGAACTAGTCCCGCTCCTCACCAGCCACAGCACACAGGAGAGAGGGCCCTACACCCCACCTAGACAGCATATGAGAGCTGACCCTGTTGTCAGGAAGTGCAGGTGAGCCAGCTCTGCGGACCTGAGAGCAGAAGAGCGGATATCCTCCAGCGATTGGGAGAGAGGGCTCTGTACCTCACACCTGGATAAAACAGCTGGCCCTGGTGGTGTGAGTGCGGGTGACCTGGATCTGAGGGCCTGAGAGCACAACCGGTCCTGCTCACTCCTTGCTGCAGGCTCCCCTGGGTGAGCTGGGTGAGGCGGTACTGGAGAGCTAGCTCATCCTGGCAGTGCGGATGAAGGAGAGCTGGCCAACTGACCACCCCAACGTCCACCTCATCTATGAACTTTTGGAGCCGGTGAAGTGGACAAACCTATAGATCCAAAACTGCAGGATCTCCACAGCACAAGACAACTCCAGTGACAGCCCATTATCCACAGTGTAGCAGAAGCCAGAGGCCTCCAGCTAGACCAATAACTAACAATGAACACGTGCAAGTAAAGATGAACTAAAGGGTAAACAGTGACTCAATGGGCCACATTACAGCTTCCACAACAAGATTCCTATTTTTTCCTTGTTTTAAATTTGGTTTTGTTGGGGGGGCAGTGTTTTGCAAGGGTTAAAGGCAGATATGAGAGGACGGGGAGAAAGGTGGACTCAGGGTGCATGATGTGAAATCCACAAAGAATCAATTAAAAGTTTAAGTTGGGCAACAGGAACCAAGGGAAGAGAACATACACCCAACAAAGACAAGCCCAGATATCAGCACCTAGAATTACACTCATCCCAAACCCAGGTACCTAGAGACAGGTGTAAATAATGACAGGACAGTATGTCTCCACTAGAGTACAGCAACTATTACAGTAGGTGCTGATAATTGCCATGTAGTTAAAGCACAAGGCAAATACCTCAAAATAACTTATGAATATGAGACACTTAAAGAGGAAATTAATAAATCCCCTTTTTAAAAAAAATCTATGAAAATACAAACACTGGAAGGAAATGAAGAAAACTGTTCAAGACCTGAAAGTATAAATAAAAATCAATGAAGAAAACTGAAACAGGAAAAACTGGAAATGAAAAGTTTAGGAGATTGAACATAAACTTCAGGGGCAAGCCTCACCAGTACAACTCAAGACATGGAAGAAAATCTCAGGCATTGAAAACATGGTAGAAAAAATAGATACCTCAAAGAAAATATTAAATCTAAAAAAAAAAAATCCAGGCACAAAATACCAAGGAAATCTGGGACACTACGAAATGACCTAATCTATGAATGCTAGGAATAGAGGAAGGAAAAGAAACCCAGGTCAAAGGGACAGAAAATATTTAACAAAATCACATAAGAAATGTTCCCTAATGGAAAGAAGAGTTACCTACCAATGTACAAGCAGCATCCAGAACACCAAATAGACTAGAAAAATTCTCCATGGCATATAATACACAAAACAGTAAGTGTACAGAACAAAAGAATATTAAAAACTGCAAGGGAAAAAAGACCAAGTGACATACAAAGGTAGACCTAATAGAATAGCACCTGACTTCTCAATGGGGACTCCAAAAGCCAGAGGATCTGGACAGATGTTAGAACACAATAGAGAACACATATGGCAGCACAGACTACTAGGCAAAACTTTGAATCACAATGGGTGGAGAAAATATAATCACGATAAAACCAAATTTAAGAATTATCTATAAATCCAGCCCTGCAAAAGGCATTAGAAGGTAACCTTTAATCTAAAGAGGTTAACCACACTCGAACACAAGGAGTAATCCCAAGCAAGCAAATTAAAAGAGGGGAAACACACACAATACACACCACAAAACAGGAATCAACAAACACTACTCATTGGTAATTCTCAACATCAGTGGTCTTAATTTCCCAATAAAAAGAGTAGACTAACAGAATGGTTGCAAAAACAAGATCTATCCTTGTATTACATCTAAGAAACATGTCTTAACATTAAGGATAAATATCACCTCAGCATAAAATGATGGAAAAAGACATTTAAAGCAAATGGACTCAAGAGGCAAGTTGGTGTACTCGGTTTAATATCTAACAAAGTAGACAACCGAAACTACTCAGAAAAGATAGGGAAGGATGCTACATACTAATAGAGAAACACACCAAAGGAACATTGCAATTCTTGACTTCTATGCACCAAATACAAGGGCACCCAAGTTCATAAAAGACATGCTACTATAGCTTAAGTCACATATTGCCCCTCAAGCAGTAATAAAGGAGGTGACTTCAATACCCCACTCTTGTCAATAGATGAGCCAGCCAGATAAAAATTAAAAAGAAGACATGCTGGAGCTAACTGACATTATAAATCAAATGAACCTAGTAGATATTCATAGAATATTTCATCCAAACAAAAAAGAATATAATTTCTCCCCAGCATCTCACCAAAGTTTCTTCAAACTTTGCCACATACTCAGCATACTGGTGAGGATGTGGAGTAAAGAGAACACTCATCAGTTGCTGGTGGAAGTGCAAATTTGTATAGCCCCTATGGAAATCAATGGCAGTTTCTCAGGAATCTGGGAATCAATCTATCTCAAGATCCAGCTATACCACTCTTAGCCATATGCCCAAAGGATGCTTCATCCTAACACAGAGACACTTGCTCAGACATGTTCACTGCTGCCCTATTCCTAATATCCAGAGATTGAAAACAACCTAGACATCTCTCAACAGATAAATAGATAAATGTGGTACGCTTGTATAATGGAATATTATCCAACTGTTAAAAGGAATGAAAGTCACAGGTAAATGGATGGAACTAGAAAAAAATTACCCCGAGTCAAGGAAACCCAGACTCAGAAAGACAAATATGGTATGCATCCACTTATATGTGTATACTAACTGTTAAGTCGATGATAAGCTACAATCCATAGAACCACAGAGTTCAGGTATGGAGTAAGGAACTGTGGCGGATGGATAGATCACCCTAGAAAAAGGAAATAGA